TACCCGCCAGTCGGTATCGGGATGTAATCTAGCCTACGTGTAGCCGCAACCCACTCCCGACAAAGGAAGAAGAGGAGTCAAAGAAAACTACGAAAAAAGTAACACGTAGTCAGATAAGGTTTAAAGATGGTATAATAAATACATTAATTTCATATACTGGCAATGCAGAATGAAGAAATAAATTCAGGGAAGATCACCACAGTTATCAATGCAACTTTGGCACTGTACCTAACGTACCTAACCATTCATATAGTCATTCTCCAATTTCCACAGCAGCTGGTCAATTAGCCTGGCAATTCCTCAGAGATTGTGGTGGGAAACAGTTAGATGTCATGTGACCTCGAAGTAACTAATGAGAATGGTGCTGGGAAATATTTAGATTCTTGGAAAACAAAATTAACTGTTTCCCATGGGCCAAGTCTTTAAGTGATTTGTGATGTTAATATTTTAAAAAATTTATAGCTGCATGGAAATTCATTAAACCTCCCTGGAAGGTCAGTTGTTGGTCATTCACGGGTAATAGTGCACTGTTACCCTCTGATGTGAATGATTTTTGCGACGTTGCCTGCTTAGAGAATATTGGCACCAAAAAGTTTCATTGTTAGATGTCAGGTGACATTGAAATAACCAATGAGTGTGCACATGGTTGGAAAGAAATTTCCAGCTATAATAACAATGTTTCTTAATATATCATTGTTGTTGGAGAGAAAAAGGAATGGACTGGATTCAAGTAAATAAAATCTTTTCTTCTGTCATCCTCCGTTTCCACTTCACCAGGCTTTGGAAACTCATAGTCCACACCAACTGCCCTTGCTCTAGCAATTATGCGGTCATCTTCTAAGTGGCTACTATTATTTACTTCTGGAAGAGGTTGCTGTGTTTCCTGCACATTGCTTGCTCCCTCAATTGGGCCATTTTCTACTGCAGGAGTGTGTTGTTCCAACTCTTCTCCTAGTAAATGAATTATTTGTATTAACCAACTACACAATTCATATAAGCTATGGGGCTAGTGGATTCTATTTTTTATCATGCCTGAGGGATAATAGAGTTGTGATTCCTGGGCTAGCAGATGCAAGCTACAGCCTTCCCGAAGGACAAGCACAAAACTGACCTCCTTTTCTTCACACCCTAGTACTGCATGCTTGTATAACTGTACAAGAATTACTATTATAAAGCTGTATCTGTGGAAGTGTTCTCAAAACCTGATTTCAAATAGAAAATACACAATATTTCTACTTTTGAAACTTCGGATAATACAACAACCTTGACAATCATTTTCTAAGTGCTGATATTTCATAAACCAGTCATCAAATATAATGGGAGTGACCCAACCAATGAACTCATTATTATAATCCAAAAAAATAATTATCTCTATGAGAATTCAATGTATTTTAACTTTGTCCTAGAGTCAAAGTAATGCAACCTTAAGGTAAGTTTTCCCATAATAATAATGCACGATCAAATACAAACAGAACCAAAAATCCTACAATCCAGTCATGGAGAATTAAGTACAGACATGATGACTTGTCATGTTTACCACAACACTTGAATTACATGACAAAAGGTCTAATCAATGAATTATACAGTGTTTTTGTTACAAATAAATATGATGAATTCTGGGACTCATCTTGTGAGAAATCATGAGTCCCAGTCCAGAACCAATGAGTCCCAGTTAAAAAAAATGAGTCCAAAATGGAAAATGTTTGGGCCTTTATGTACCAGCCACAGACAGTTAATCTGAAGACACACTCCAAAACTCTGTATTAGAGTATACTGAAATTAAAATATAGTTCTTCTATTTTAAAGCAGAAGTCAACAAAGGCTAAAACAAATATGCATCACTAAACAACAACCATAACTGCCACAGAAATTACACGTACGGGATATTTCTACAAATACACACGTTCAGATCGATATATCCATGAATTATTTTATGTCTTTGGCGATTTTTATGTGTAAGGAACATAGATAGAATGCAGAGGTAACAAAATCACTGATTATAGAGTGTTTTCACTCACGTGGCTAGCATCTATGCAAATTTACTGAAACAAAAGAAAGCGTTTGCATAAGAAAAGATCTCAATTCCCAGAGGATTGGTTTGGGACACCAACATGGCCGCCGTTTCATTGTTTTGGGACACCAATATGGCTGCCGTGACGTCATGTGAAAACACTCTATATAGCTGCTCTTTTGAGTCCATGTAAAAAATATATATATGAAAGTTTTAACATTCTTATTTGTTACACACACACGCCCACCCACACCTTTATTAATTTCAAAATCTTGGTTACAAAAATGAAAACAAAAACAACCCACAATGAACAAATAAATAAAAATAATCAGGTAAATTCGTAAAATAAAATATTGAGAAAAAAAGTGTTACAAGAAAAAGGAAAGATTACTTAGGTAAGACAACAGAGCATAATTAATTACACAAAAAAGGGGGAAGTTTTAAAAGTATACATGCTTCCCACCAGCAAACTGTGGCACTTAATTAGTTCTGATAAATTTCTATTGTTTATTGGCCCAATCACAGTTTTTCATTCTCTGATAAATTTGCATTATATTTCTTTCTTTTTGCATTATGTTTCCTTGTTTTTGCATTGTGTTTACTAAAAAGTACACTGCTCTACGCCAATCAAATTCACAGAGACATTTTTTCATGTATATTATTAACTTTCATAATAAAATACCATCTACCATAAACAACTACCGGTATATCAGTACCTGCTGAATGACTTTGCTCTTGTTCACCTGGCAGAGAGCTTTCCATGCTACATTCAAGTTGGAGGACTTCACTTTCATGTTCTTCTATGGCTAAGAAGATAAGATATAATCTTAATAAGTTGGGCAAGCAGATTGTGACACCTGAGGCTGATTGGTTCTTATATATTTCTATTGTTCAGTGTTATGTATTGGTCAAATCGAAGCTTCAACATGCCCCCCTTCCCCGGCATACCCCGGGCATTTGACACCTTTGCCGTCCCGGGGAGGAGGGAATTTGATTATCAGAGTCTTCCAGGGGGTGGGGAATTTGATCCCCAGGCTTTAGGGGTGGAGAATTTGAACTTTTTAATACTGGATTCAGGCTTTGAATGTATGAATGTATGTTATTGTTGTGTTTACAATGAAATACAATACCTATGCCAGCGATTCAATACTACAACATAAAATTAGAATAAAATAAAATAAAAAGCTCAGGTCAACTACTTTGACCTACTGCAAGTATGTTAATTTATACGGTGAGCGATGATGCATGTCAGTGAAATGGTCATGATGTAGTAATCTCAATAGGTGGGATCTTTTTTTTTTATAGAACCCTTTGGATGTTGCATGATGAAGAAAAAGCTGAGCATTCAGTGACCTTGTAGCAGCGATTTCTGCCGCTTTGCACGAGTTTTTTTGTTCGTAGTAAATCGCTAACAGTGTTTTTGTTATATTTATAAAGATTTTGTTCGACAACTGAAGGCGTTCCGCCGTCCTTCTGTCATTTTTTGTGCCTGTGAAATGTCCCCAGGATGGGGGCATTTGATCACCTGAATGGACCCTACTGTGGGGCATTTGAACGGCATTTTGGGCCGGGTAGGGGGAATTTGAACAATAATTTTCAAAAAGTCAAATGCCGGGGGTTGCCCGGGGAGGGGGGGCATGTTGAAGCTTCGATTTGACCGATACATTATCCAGAAGTTTTAGAGTAGCCAGCTCCCAAGGCAAAAAGAAACTGGTGCCTGACACCAAGCACTGATAAAGCGAGAGTACTGTATCTAAGGGAGGGGTTTGGGGGCATTAAGCCCAGAGATCTGAGAAGTTTTGCTCGTTATTTACAAGCTTTTCCAGAGTTCTCCCAAGAACCAAGTGAGTTATCATGCTGGTAAATCCATAGAAAATGTGGTCTTTTACTTTTATAAAATAACTTTAAAGCATGTTTCAGTTTACTATGAGATTACCAGCACAATAAACTATTGGTTTTTAACCAATCAGAATGCATGTACTATCTTAGTTATTTTATAATTAAAAAATATTACCACATTATATTATCACATGTCTATCAGAACTGTCAACGCATGAACCGACTCTCCTGGACTGGATGAATGAAAAATCAAAACATTATAAAGATGAACACTTTTAAAAACTCATCGAGATTCTAGGATTTTACACAGCGGGACAGCTAAAAAAACCTGGCAGATAATGTGAAGAAAAATAATTCTTAACAGCCATCAAAATTACTGTGAATTTGGACTTTTAGAGCAGTTACAAAAGTAAGAACAACGGAGAAAAAACTATTACCTTGGTCGCTTGTTATGACGTTGTTTGAAGCCACAAGCTGGTTTTGCTGAACAAGAAAAGAAGCTTTACTGACGCCTCGATTGCTGTAGTGAATGGCTGCATAGCGTGTATTCTAGTTGCTTGTGATTTATATTCTTCATGTCAGATAAACAAGCCGCAGCTATCTATCGGCAAGTGCCTCAGCGAGTGGCTTCCGCAACCATGAATAAACAAAACCTGTCTTCTTTTGTAGCTGTTCAAGGCACTTTAGTTCCATGTATTTTCATGTGTTTTTCGATAAACTTTCAAACAAGCTCTCGTGGCTTTTTTGTTTGTTTGTTATTTTCCGATGAAATTGCATGTTCTAGTATTCTAAGAAATGAATTAACACGATTTGCTTTGGGTGCCGTTTTATCCTTCGCGGAAAAAAAATGGAACTTACGAAAAATTGAAGATAAAAGTTACAGACAGTTTTTTTTATGTTTTGACTCATAAGAGTAGCTGGCACTTTGGAAAAGAGTTCCCAGTGAAACTGCCAGTTGCCCGCGCTTCTGGAGAACACTGATTGTTTATTAGCCAATCACAGGTTTTCATTCTCTGAGAAATTCGCACTTTTATTTCCTTATTTTTTGCATTATGTTTCCTTGTTTTTGTACTGTGTTTACTAAAAACTGCACTGCTCTAAGCCAATCTGATTCAAGAAATTTTTCCACGTATATTAGTAAGTTTTATAGGAAAATTCATTACCTGATTTGGGAATTCCACGTTAAATTGCACACGAAAACCGATATCGGTTTTCAAGCGCAATTTAACGTGAATTCACGAGTCAGGTAATGGATTTTCCTTGAATCGCATAATCAAATAAAAATCAGAAAAAAAAAGAAAACACCAGTAATATTGTTTGTTTTTATCCTGAGCACGTGCCCCAGAAAGCCATTTCAAAGTCAAATGTCAAACCTATCATTGCATTAGCGAATAGGAAGCAAGGTCAGTCATACACGTTTGAACCTTTGACAACTTTTTTTTGTACCTTGTGCTTGTTTTACATTTGTTTTCAAACTTTTTACACATGAACAAGCTTCACACTAATTGTAAGGATAAATAGAGGTATTTCACTGAATTTACAAGCCGGTTATCTATAATCCTTTTTCAAATTGGTCATTTGCTCGCGAAGGAAAATAGTTTACACCTTTTACCTCTTCGGTAGCAAAACTGAAAGAAATGAAGTGTCCAAGGCAAAGCACTGAAAGTTTAACGTTGCGATTAATATAAGGTAAGTACCTTGAAATGTTTTAAAAATGCTGTTCAAGTTCAGCTCTGTTTTGTACTTTTCTAAGTACCACGACTCAGGATGAATGCAAGTGGCATACTCTTTTTCGTGTTTTCAGGGACAATGTGATCTTTGAAGGTATTTATTTTTTTCTTCTGTATATGTGACAATTGACCCTGGCACTTCCTCCATTGTCGCTTCTCCGTTTTGTTTGTTTGAATTTGGCTTGTTATTTTCTGGGCTGTGTTGACAGGATTTTCTTGTTTTCTCATTGTCGCTAGCGAAAGGGGTTTTTTATACCTCTCCAAGAATTTGTAGTTTAGTTCAAAACAAGGAAGAACCTCCGGATCACTTTAAAAAATGCTTTTGTTTGTTTTTAACTATTTATTTATTTAGTCACTCACAAAACCTTATGCAACATAAACAAAAGGTGTTAATTAAATTATAAAATTAATGTGACAAGGAAGTCTAACGAAGCTTAATGAAGCTTATATTAATAGGCTTCCTTCAACTACCTAGAGAACTAAATTCATGGCTGAGTGCAGAGTGAGCAAGATCAGAAAATTAAGCGACAGATCGGCTATCAGTGAGATAATTCTTTAAATTTTTTGTAACAACAAATATAGAAAGAGAGCTAATTAGTGAAACAGGCAACGAATTCCAGATTTTAGGTCCTCGGTAAAGGATACTGAATTGCTTTATATTTGATCTACAAAAATGAGGTCTATACTGAGAGGCCAGTCGAATTTTGGTATTGATGGACTTCAGATTACTACTTAAGAACAAGTCACGAAAGCTACTAGGCAAAAGATTATGGTGATAACAATACATAAAAGTAGTGACAGAAAATAAATTAATACTAAATATGTCAAGGACTTTAAGCCGACTAAACAAAGGGGCGGTATTTGCTAGATAGTGAGCTTTTGTTATGAGCCGCACTAGACGCTTTTGCAAAAGGTAAATACAGTTTAGGCTGGAACAGTAGGTGGAGGACCAGGCAACATTACAGTATGT